GAGTTAGGGTGATGTTATAGTTGAAGCAAGATATAGTTTATATCAAAATTTAGCAAAGAATTTTTTTTGTTAGAACAAATTTTTGAGTTATTAATGATTTTTTTTAAAAAATAGTTTTTGTTTTGATTTCACATTACACCTGATCTTAAAATTTAATTGGCTTTATTGGATGCGGTTACAGTAACCGCGGTTACAAATTTATTAACTCTATTATTTTTTAAGATGATGAACATAAGCTTCAGAATATTCTGTAAATACCTGTTTTTTCTGATATTATTATAAAAAAACACTAGCTCAAATAAAAGTAGTGCAACAACAAACTATTTAGTCTCTTCAAAAACAACCATTATATTTATTTTATTGCTTAAAGTAAATTTTGGCTAAAAAATTAATTTAATTTATAATAAATTGGTAAATTGGGATTAAAGGTAATTAAAATTTTTAATTAAATTTTTTTTTTGAAACAATTCTGGTTATCATAACAGCTCAATATTAATTAAATCAAACCTACCCATAATTAAACAATTAGACCAATTTCACTTATTTTATATTACCCAAATTTAGACACAGTATCTTGAATACAGATAATTTATCATAAACAATATGTATGTATTAATTTTTGCCATTTCGAAAGGAATATCAAAATACTGTACACCTGACTATAAAAATATATAGGGGTGAGTCAATAGAAATCAAGCAAATTTTTTATAATAAAAATTATTTATAACAAAAATTTGACCAAATTTAGTAACAAATTTTTAGAATTAATTTAAAAAAATTTATTAAATTTGATAAAGTTTTTGCTAAATTATCCAACTTGTTAAAAAATTTGCTTGATTTCTATAGACTCAACTCCATATCGATATAAAAAAAAATCAATAATACATAAAACACCACATGATTTTGCGGACCCACGGGTCTGTTAAATTATATAATCATAGTAATTTGATGAAAAAAAATGAAGTGAAAATTTTATTCAGTTTATAAAAATTAAAGTAAAAATCCAAAAAATATCAATTATTGTTTCTACAAAATTAATTGAACAAATAAACTCCTTTTTAAAAGGATTAAAAATATCTTAATAAAAAATTGAAGCAGTATAATTTAAACTTTAGAGATGCGGATTACTTTTAAGACCATTAATTAACGATATTCTTTTCATTTTCAATATTAAATATGATTGTATCTTATTTTATCCATAGCTTACTAGTCAAGTATTGCCATTTTCTGATTTGTAAAAAACGTTGAACTTTTATAGTATATTTACTGTATAAATAGTGTCTTTATCCCAGATAATGAGATAATAAGAATCTTGCCGAAAGATACTTGATATATTTTTGTTGATTACTTTATTTTTTGATTTTGATTCTTTGTGTTTGTCCATTTTTTTGATTTTTGAACAATAATGATTTTAAGCTAAAATTCGAAAGCTTAAAAATATAATTATATACTTCAATATTTTCTATTGCAAATAAAAAGATTAATAAAAGAATTAATCACTATTTCAGCAATTTATAAACGTGTATATTGCGCTAACTCAATAACTTAGCCAAAAATTACTTTTTCTCCCTTTTCATCATCATTACTAATGCTTCTAACAGTACTATATGAACCAATACATAATAAAATAGTAGCAACAGTTAAGAACGAAACGCTCATAGTAGCCAAATAAATTTCAGATCCAGTATTTTGACTTCCGATACCAGGAATAATAGAAATAAGATCAAATACCCAAACAACAAGTAGAAGATCAAAGAAACAAGCAATGAAATTAAGTAAGGTAGAAGTTAATATGAGTAAAGCAGCAATAATTGTAAAATGAAAATAAAATAATGGTAAAGAAATTACATTAAATATTAAAGCTATTAAATAAGGAATTGTGAAAAAGCCTAAAATGTTAGCAGTGAGACTTCTTGGTTTAAAATTGTCGAAAGCACTTAATAACTGAGTTAATAAATTAGGGGCTACCGCAGCAATATCCCTGGCAGTATTTGCAGCAGTATTTGCAGCATCGGTGATAGCACTACTAATGGCTAAAACAGCTAGTTCTATACTAGATGGAACATTAGGAATTGAAAGGGTTGGGATTGAAGGAATTGGAATATCAAGCCTGTTTTGATTTGAGGATTTACCAGTGATTTCTAAAGAAGAGGGTACTAACAATTAAAAAATTAGTTAATTAAAAAAAAAAAAAAAAGAAAACAATCAAAATTAATTTAATACATAGCTTACATTTATCAAAATTATTAACCAGTGAAGATGTAGTGCATGAATTATCTACACAATAACCATATAGAGTGAAAGTAATATCATTTTTTTTTGTAATAAATTTTATTGGTTCGCCAAAAGTAAATTTTGACAAATAAATAGTTTTAGAACTACCAAGCAAAAGGATAAGAAGAAGTAAAATAGACAAAAAAATTAACATGACTGAAGAAAATATTAAAGGGTATTCTTTTGATGGCCGGACCACATGAGAACGAAAGAAAGCTTGAACTGGAGAGACAACATAAGTATGAAAAGATGAATGATTTTCAAGTTTTGCCATATCACTAATAGATAAACTTTTTTCAGACATCTTTACACTGTGTATATTTTAATCTAGTTCCTTTTAACTTAGTAAAATCTTGAATGAACGAGAATGTGCTGCATTCCCTTTAACTTAGTAAATCGTTGGGTTGACTTGAGCGAGAACGCACTGCGTGCCAACACCATTCCTTAACAGGATGAAATCCTTATATTTATAAAAAAAATTTATAAATTTTAAAAATAAATAATTTTAATTGTTCAATAATAATACAAAGGTGGTTTGTTTCATACGTAGAGCCAAAGCAATTGACCACAATGCAGCCTTTGTTTATATAACTTTATTTTTATATTAAATGTTAAAAATAAATGTCATACCCTGTGATTTTTGAATTTGAAACACCTAAAATATATATATATTGCCTGAATTTACTGTAATTATACTAATTTTGCCAGAATCATACTTAAATTATTTTTAATTTGGCCCGGAATTATCTTAATTTTGCTAGAGATTATATTATTGCTTACAATTTTGATTTGAATTAAATTTTTTTCAAAATTCATATCCGCCAAATCACGAGCCATAAAATAATAACAATAAAAAAGGAACTAATTTAGTAACTAGCATGACGATTAAAAATTTTTCCAAATAAAAGATAAAGAAAGAATTGATCGAAAGAGACTTTAAAAGTAGAAAACCGTCAGTGTTCATTATGTCCGCTTGATTACAAAAATTTTTTATTTTTACCGATAAGGATGAGTAATGCTTGTCTTTTTTGTTATTCAGCGTGATAAATTATTAAAGATTTCAAGCCCGCTAAACTTTTTTTATATGCTTATCGTTTTTCCAGTCAAATAAATAAATAGCAAGCTTTAGTACAGGTACAATACGAAAAATTAGACAAGAATTTAATAAAGGTAAAAGGAACAATTAAATTCCACAATCCTAAATTGTTTTTGTCTCAATTGAAATGTTTAATATTTATGAGAAGCAGTATTAATTATCACGCATACCGTAATCAATTTAATGAAAGAAAAAAATACAAATATTTGGGTATTACAGGAATATGTTTTTATCTGGATAACTAGGTTGTGGCACAGATTAAATTATTTGAAGAATATTTTTTCGTATTGAATTAATTCTTCGTTTAGAACATCAAAAATCTCATATTCGCCTGAATATGTGAATCTTGCAAATAAGCCAGTTGCATGTGATATCCGTCATGGCAGGAAAAAAGATATGTTGGTGGTAAAATTGATGAGGAGCCATGCGAATAAATTTAAAATACTTCTTATTAATGAATTTGAATTGTTGGAATTGTGTAAACAAATGGTAATTTTTGTTGAGGCTTGTTTTAATTTGGAGAGTCTGTCGATTTATTTGAAAAGTCTAATTTTTGGTTTGATATTTCGAAATCAGAAAATAAAATAGAATTTATCCGGAGATAAAATAAGCAAACTTTTTTTGATGATATATATAAGTTTACAAATAAATAGGATTTATAGATTATAAAATCAGAAAACCGAACCTTACCCCATTATTAAATTTCCTATCGTCAAAAGAATTTGGTGTTTCGTAGATAATATGTTCCTACGATTGGGACAGATACCTGTTCAGCAGCAAATGGTGAGTCTGTTTCTAGATTTCGTCTTTTCATTTAACAACTATAAAAAAATTGAAGTTGAAAAGGATGAACATAAGGCATTTATTTATTAAAAAGCTGCCGATATGGGACATTGGAGGTAAAATCGGTGAGGAGCCTTGCGAATAAATAATAATCTCTCGCTATGAATGGAATGTTTTTAACTGATTTTAAAATTATCCTAGTTCTAAATAATAAACCAAAAATAAAAACTAATTTATATAAATACGAGATTGATCTGATTCATAAATACGGGTTCGAATATTATAAACCATTCCGATACCAGAAATTCGTTTACGTCCATTATAAATAATTTCAGTAATATTCTTCTTGACATCAAATTTTCTGGCTGATACGGTTTTATTTTGTGGATCATAAGTAACACCATAAAGTTTAATATTTTCATTGATGCACGCATATGCCGCCCAAACAATGGACTGTGAAAACACAAGCGTATTCTTTTCTTAACTGAATTCTCATGTGCCTTTAGGTATTTGTAAAGTCTCCGAGTGGTCGGGCCGGTAGCAGTAAAGCTGTACATTTTTTCAGCATTAGCAAGTTTTTTCATGGAAAGTGTGGCGCGAAAGCTTTTCTTCAATTTTAAGCGGGTTATTGCCATGATTAATAAAGAAATTCTTTTATTAAATTTGAAATTATTATTAATTAAATATAAATTCGAACTGGGAGTTATAGCTCTTTTATACTTTTTTCACAAAATATAATGGTTAAAAATTCTAATTACTTTACCATTCGGAAAAGACTTTTGCGATAAAACACTAAGAATTCTCAGAGAAATATAGAATGAAATTTTTACGTGACATTACAAATCTGTATAACACAATCTTTTGACCGAATGTTTAATCATGAGATAAATTTTATTTGCGCGCAGTTTTGTACTAAAATATATGCCCGAAGGTTAACCTTATGAATGAACAAAGAAAATCGGTACTTACAGTTACGTAACTGTATTAGTAATGTATTTTCGAATAAAATGATATCAATATCATTATTTTTTTTATGATGAAAAAAACTGCTTTCATATAAATCAAAAATATCAAAGAATAAAAAACAATTGAAGCCTAGGAATACTCATACAAATACACGCCACTTTCTCAACGATTGCATCTGTATATGGAATTATATGTGCAATTATATAAAATGAAATTTCTTTATTTATTACTATGTGGAATTATTAGTGCATTTTCCATGATGCACAATAAAGAAATACAAGTCTTTGTCACTAGTGTCTATAATAGTCTTTTGACCTATTTGACAAAAAGTTCGTGACTTGTACATGTAATCCCGTGATAACGGTATCGGATATATAAATTTACTCAGCCTTCGGGCAAAAAACCATATATAGAGTGAATATATATAGTATACATAAATTTAGAAGAGGCAATTAAATGATTCTTGAAACAAGGGCAATTTTAAAATAAAATATTTTTGTAATTCTATACATGAAAGTTTTTTAAGATTAAGCAAATATGATAAAGTTATTACCACAATGAACATTGCTGAAACAAAGAAATTGGTCACGCATCACTATGTGTGAAATATTTGGTGAAAAACGCGCCTATAATTATTAAGAGGTTATTTACGTGTATGCGGTCCGAATGGTTAACCTTCGATGAAACAAAAATTTTTACGCGTGTTAACGTAATCAGTATTACATAATTTTCTCAACGCTCCGACAATTAAAGTGCCAATTATAACAAGCAAGTCCGAATTTATTTTGTTTCAATTTAAAGAAAGACCGCCGCGTTATACAATATTTGTAATGACGCGCTTACAAAGAAAAAAAAAAACCATCATAAATAGAATTACAAATAAATAATCAATATAAATATTAATTTAGAATCCCACACAAGAAGGTTATTATAAAAAATACGGTAAATTATCTCCATTCCGAAAATATTGCCATTTCTTTGTACTTAATTTAAAAGCAACTCAAACTTTTCGCGTAATCATATAAATGATACCCGAAACAAGACAATTTTGAACAAAAACTCCCGATTGTTACTTTATCTTTTCAATTTGTTTAAAATTAATTAAGATGAAATTAGTCTTATCGCGTCATGAAATTTTTCTTTGTCCAAATAGGTTATACGGTAATTTAATACATTATATTATTTGAATGGCAGATTTCGCGTCTATTCTGTATGAAATAAAAAAAAAAAAGATTTTTAAAATTAGCCGGTTGTCATAATTTAAGTAATAATATATTTAATATTATAATTAAAGCAATTTATTCGATTTATTGTAATCAATTGACAACACCAAAATAGAAAGATCTGTTTCGTCAAATTTTATTTAAACACCTTACGCACATTTTACTCTATATAATACAAACAACTAAAGATTTCACAGTATTGAAAATGCCATGTACTCGTTCTTCTTATAATACACAACTTAAAAAGAATAGAGTTAATATTATTAACTACAAGTTGATCGACAGAAAATACGAGATACCTTTTACAGATGAAAAAGGAAAAAAAGATATAAACGTTTACATTGATCTGTACAAAGAACATAAAAATAGAAGTTTAAATAACAAAAAATGTGATTTATGTGGCCAAAAACTGTTCAAAAAATACTCTTCAAATTATTTGTGGAGACACATTCCATTTCAATTGCTTCAGAAGTTATATAATCAAAAGATGTATTTTTGAAAAGTCTCCTATTATATGTTGCCCAAGGTATTATGAAAATGGAAAGCACTTGAGTGGATTTAAAAATCCTCTAAGAGCATATAAAGTGTAGGCAGGATTTGTTAAAATGTATTATATTTTACATTGTTCTAAAAATTTTTTTTATCTGTTATGATTATGTAGAGTTCTAAACTGTATTTTAAATCTTTAACATGATTATCAAATATTAATAAGCAACACTATTGACAGGTATATGAAATTTTCATTTTTATTTCGCATAATATAAATCCTAAATAAATCCTACTCGAGAATAAACGATGTCTTTGCTGAATTACCAACTTGATTCATTTTTCCACCAGTAATTTACATATTTAATTAATATATATATAATACATTAAAGATGCAAATAGGGAAAATAAAGCCTTAAAATAATGAAATAAATATATAAAAACTAAAATTATCTGCCAGATATAACGGTTTAGAGAAAGTTGCCAGTATATATACCAGCTGAATACTCAAATAAAAGTAATAAATTGATCAAAAATGGGTCCAATATCTAAATACACATTATTTCCCAGAAATTATCAGCAGTTGATAATGCGTGACAGCTAATCTCAAAAGAACTAGAAGACTGTGTTTTATGTTTAGCTGCGTTGTGCTCTTGAGCCGAATTGTTGTATTGGGTTATGAACATTTCTAATTTTTTAAAGACATATCTAGTGTCAGGGCGAATTGCAGGGTCTTGCTCCCAACAGTGCTTATAAAGTTCACAATACTCGAGCTGCGTATCCTTTGTGGGTGTTTCTCTTTCTTCATTAATAATACGAAGGATTAGTCTTTGCGCTTGTACAGAATTAAAGGGTATTTTACCACTTGAAATTTCCCAGAGAATAACGCCCAGACCGTAGATATCATATTTCATATCTCGCTTATACGAAATATTATTTAATGATTGAGGATCAATAAATGCCGCCGAGTTCGCCGAATTCGTAGTTTCATACAAAGAATGCCCAAAATCTGCGATCATAGCTTTTCCTTCATGAACTAAAATATTCTTAGTATGCTAAATATATTTAAATAATATTATATTTTAATATTAATCATAATTTAATTTGATTCATTGCATAATAACAAGTAATAATAAATAAACACACAAGGTCACGATGAATAATATTGTTCTTATGCAAAAACATAAGGCCACATGCTATGTCTTTTGCGATACGTAATTTATCAATCCATTGTAATTTTGAATAATTTTTTTCTAAATATTCCCTTAAATTGCCATTATTGGCAAATTGCATGGCTATATAATATCCATAAACTGGATCTAAAAATTAGAAAATTAAATTATTATAGATTATAAAATACACAAATTTATATAAAAAGCCATTAATGACTAACCTTTAACAGCTCCATAGATACGAGCAATATTTGGATGAAAACCCACTTGCTGTAAATATTTAACCTATGTATGTAAACATAAAGTTTAATATTTCAAATCGATTAGCAAAATTTGCATCTGGATAATACCTTTTTAAAGAAAGTATTTTTATCATGTCCCATCATAAACTTTAGATGTTTAAGAGTTATAGTCAGTTTACAGTTCTTCCATTCAGCTTTATAAATATTCCCAAATATGCCTTCTCCAATCTTCTTGAAGTCAGTAAAATCAGTATAATTATAAAATTTAATACTTTTGTAAATTTCTACTAATAAATATTTAT